AAGAGAGCCACAAATCAGAACTAGCTTTTCGGCATCTCAATACTGTGTCAAAGTTAGGAGAGAGAAGGTACTCATTCACTCACAGGTCTTCTAAAAAGACCCATTAAAGGTAACTCAACTATTGCAATCTTATTCCATATATCTTCTAGTATTTTCTCCCAATACAAGGGATCAAAGCTTGTACAATATACTAACGCCTGACAGTCAGTGCCATAATGTCCAGGGGTTCTACGTTCCTGTGTCTAGTAACCCATATTTGTTCATTCTCTCAGGCCTCAATTCACCACTTCCAGATCACCAAACACAATTGCTCCAGACTGAGCACAGTTACAGACCAGTATAAAGCCTATCAACATTAAAGTTAACTCATTGGAATTTTCAACTCATTTGCAAACACTCTGTCATTTTATACTGATGACTGTGTCACATCACATCGGTTCAGGCTTTTGACCTAGTACAAAATACCCTAAAGTTATGTTTACTATGTAAACATAGTCCTGACATCCTGACTAAACATGCATCTTCTCACTCATCTTCTGCAGGTGACACCTTCATCAACTAAGAGATAGTTCAGAGAAATTAGCTCAGAGTCCTTTGATGCATTAGTGAAAGCTGTTCAAATTCTGTACTCAGTTCTTAACCTATAAAATGTTTCTAGATTAAATTTCAGTTTACTAAAATGTTCAAAAGCCCCAGGAGCATTGTGAGCTACTATAAACAATCTCAGAATCAAGGGAACATAACATGAGTTTAAGGTTATGGCAGAGCTCAAAGGCTGGAAGAATAAAATTCCTTTATTTATGTGTGTGAGAGACCTCCCTATGCAACAAGAGTTAAAATGCTCAGTTCTTGACATGCTCAAACATTACCTGCCTAATGCTGTGGAAACATCTAAATGGAAAATAGCAATGTCTCACTGAGGTAAAGAGAGGCTCAGTTATGAGCTTCAGTGCTTTAATACTGAACACATAATTAGTTCTGCAACATAGCAAGAGAGACAGAATCTATCTCTATTAATTACAGCAGTCCTTCTTTAGCATACAACAACAACGTAAATGTCCCAGCATGTTACTAATATTCAGTAAGGCAAATTTAAGCCCTTGAAGTCTGAAATGCTCTATTTCTGCTGCAATTTTACCTGTGCTTCACTAAGGCCAAGCTCCAGCATTTCCAGTGACTTTCGAATCATGTTTGATTTTTCTTCAACCAGATTAGTTTCATCATCTTTCTTCAAACATTTCAGTGTTTCAAGTAAGCTCTGTAAAATTGAATTGTGTTCATTCTTCAGTGCCTCTAGTCCATTAATCACTTGCTTAGTTTTGGCAATGATTTCATCTTGAGTAAGCTTCTCCAACTTCTCTTCCTTTAAATACACCATTGTGGACATGTTTTCATACATTCTGAAATAGACGAGTACACTAGTTAACCCAAAGGCAAAAATAAAATAAGTAATTCTTTATAACTGAGTAAAGCTTTCCTTTAAGAAGTAATCAAAATATATGAATTTGAAATGTATATTCAGAATATAATTATATTTTTGCACTACTTGTAAACACTTCTACCAAATGCAAATGCAGATCCAAAAAAGTTTAGAAACTCAGGTAACTTTATATATGCAGTTACTGAAGTCACAACAAGTATAACAATGTAAAAATACAAATAGAAGACACAGAAATCACTTGATCCTTTTGAAATGTCACCAGAAAAATATTCTATAATGAAAATAAAAAAATTAAGGAATTGCTCCTTTATACTTAAGATATTTCTACCTCCAAGTGTAACAGGAAGTATAAATTAGAATACAGTAGGAAATATTTTTTCAAAAGCAATAAATTATCACATCTGTATGAAGACCTTTGGGGAAGCTTTGCTAACTTAACATTTAACATGAATTAGCTAAACTGTATTAAAACTTTGTACAGAAACAAGTCTAGTTTTAGAAGAAAGCAAAAAAAAATGACAACCACTTAAATCTTTAATAAGAGTGTCACAAGGAACATCTATGCACCACTTCATGACAACAGCAAAAGGATGTGCTCTTATATTACGTTTAAAAAAAAAAGGGGTGGGGGGGGGGGGGGGGGGGGGTTGCTCTTTTTGTTTACATACACTCAAATTATGGCCTCCTGCGACCCAATATGTAATAGACATTCCCATTTGTCACTAAATGAGCTGTACGCTACACTGGTTTATTTTGTAATAATCTATTGTCTGAATCTACTGGGGGAAGCAGTGAATTTGGTTTTACCACAGCTTAATACAAGAACTTCATATTCACAAATATATGTAATATAGAGCATATACATATGTATAAAACATCTGATCTAGCACAGCACAAGAAATCAGCTCACCAAAACCTGATGAGCAGAATGATATTGACACCGCAATTTAACGCAAGCCAAATCTGTAAATAAATGCTTCTGACATGCACAGTCACATAAGAAATTGTTATGGATTATGCTAACTTCAGCCTACAGCTCACCTCTAATCATCATCAGCATGCTTTCATGCCTTCAATTAACAATTTGCATCCTGATTGAATCTTTGATCATAAGGAAATAGAAACAGCAGAGGACACCCAATCAACAGGGACTTCCATTTTGTATTCAGAAGCACTGAGAAATTATTTTTAAATACCTGCACTTTTTCCACAACATTCCAAAATAACTATGTGATCATTTGTCTGTCTTATGTGAAGAGTAGTAGCAATTCCTTCTGCATGCTTCAGTATTTTGTAGTCATTCTACACTAAAAATGGAAGGCAGGTGTGTGCATGTATGTATGTAATGCATGTATGGACGTTTAAAAAAAATTGCACATTTTAACTACCACAGAAATTAAATGAATTCTAGGTGATGAATACAGATATATTAATAACCATTCATCGTTACAAAAAGAATGCACAAATCTGATAAAGTAATACTAAAAACTACCTTCATGTGAAAAGAATAAAGCAGCCTGGGAAGTACCTATCCAACATAGGAAATCCAGTCAAAAGGCAAATTTGTGTGCACAATTACATCTAAGGTGTGAAACAGACACTGATTTGTTATCAGGAAAAAAGGCTGTCACATCATAGATAGCATGAGGCACCCAGCTCTGGCTGAATACACTAAAGTTGCCACTAATGAAGGCTAAGCCAGCACAGAAGCTTTTGAAAAAAGGAAAAGCAGGTTTAAACCCAATGGGGCAAAAAGATACTTAAAGCCCATCACAACAGCAGACCTGCTTTACAAATACGTGCTTCTTGTCTCAATCCAGTGTGCCAGATTTTTAAACCACCTCATTCTAAACCAATATAAGCTCTCACTGTCTCAGAGCTACCAGTACAAGCAACTGGAGCTGGTGTCAACTCAACAGCTACATCAAGACACAGACTGATGTGAAGGTCCACACAGCCTGGGAGAAGGATTCTTAAGACTCCTTTAGAGAAAGTTGTTACAATCCTAGTCTCTCCACTGACAGGAAAGGAATAAATCTCTCTGGATAGGTTTTGTACAGAGTCTATTTAAATGATGTCTGTATAAAACACTACAGAAAATTTGGAAAATGTTGTTCAGAGTTTTATAGATTGTGCTTGGGAGAATAATTTAGAAAACAGGAGGATAACATGATTTATCGTGTTATCAGACCTGATTCTTTGTAGGAGTAAGATTAATAAATAAATACCTAATATATTTTAAGAGTGGAGGTGTGGTGCTATTTCCATGATTAAAAATGTATTTTACAAAAGAGCATGACCTAGTCATCAAACAAGACCACATTTGAATACATAATCATACAATTAGTTTTACATACACTGAGGCAGCAAAGCCCATACAGGAAGCAAGAAAGTTAACTCTGTATGCAGGAAGCAGACATGTATGCATACAGAGGAAGAGACAAAACCTACCCTGCCTTTCTGTTGTCACTTTTCAAAAA